CTGCAGGTCTACGTTGCTCCAAAACCACATAACCCCAATCCTCTGGATCATCATTCGCAACTTTTTGAGAGGCATTAAAATGTGAAGTTTATTAAACAATTCATGTATTCCCGGGAATACATGAGGAAAAACTGGATTTTTTGAAGAATTCCTTAGTGATATATTATAGCACGACTTTCCATTTCGAAGGAAAAGTTGGTTGAAAGTAATTAGTGATGTGGTCTTATCGGAAACCGAAGGAGGATTGTCGCGTAAATATTGTTGTATTGTGCGAAAAAGTTATCAGCTTACCGTTCAGCGCAGGTTCATCGGAGTCGAAAGCAGGTGAACTGAGGACTTCTTCACGCAATTCAACAGTGTTCACTTATCCTTCGGTTTCCGGTGTGACCACATCACGAATTCTTTCCAACCAACCTTTCTTTCGAAATGAAAAGTCATGTCACATTGTTCCCTTGAGTAGACTTGGTAGCATCTAGAACCAACTGGAAACAGCAAACTTAGAGCCTCACTCAGCTCGCCTGGACAGATATCTTCTTCCTCTCTTTGCAAGGCTTCTAGTTCCCTCTGGTCCATTAGCTGACCGATTGGTTCGATCCCCATGCTCGACTCCTGCCTCAGTTTCAGCTCGATCGCAAGCAACTTAGTTAACTCCCCACTTCCTTGTCTTCGTCTGAACGACTGAGGCTCAATAATGCAATGCTTTATTCATGCAAGTCGCCATAACGACCGTAAGTTAAGCGCTGAGATCAATGACCCTCAACTGTGACAATGGTACTGATAGTCTCGAAAACCTCATTATACACGATTCTCTCTAGTTTGCGCTCACTTTCAGACTTGTACGGCTGCCTAGATGGCTTATTTTGCCTATTATTAGCATTATTAATACTGCCAGTAGTGGGCAGTAGTAGAACGAAAATGATTTCAATTTCAAGTACACAATTTATCTTTTCATGTCAGCTGCTTGGTTCACCTCATCTTAACGACCACCAACAGTTTTCCTCATCGGAGGATGATGGGAGTGACAGAATTGATTCAGGATAGAGTATAAAGACGAGGAGAAAAGTTTTTTGTCTTGTAGAGCAATCAAGTCCGCTTTCCAAGTCAACAGTTCGTAGCGGCATCCTGAAGTTGATCCAACAAGGTGTTTGCCGATCGCCTAAGTAATGATTTATAAGCATGATGGCCGAGCTGAATGAAATAAATGATTAATTGTTGAATTTCATCTAGACTGGATTGCAGTTTTGACCTGAATGAAAATACCATTGTGAAGGCAAGACCAAGTGAAGTCAATAGAATTTTGGGAAAAGTCATCTATAGGTCTTGTTTAGGGTTAGCCATTTTTCCCATTTTTTCGAGAACTCCGTTACTAATCGCTAACTCTGAAAAAGGACCTTTTTGCTTTACAAAAGCCATCCTGTACCAAGACAATCTACGTTTCTTCTCGCCCTTATATTAGACCCTGAATTAGTTCTGCTGGTCGTTAGGGTACGGTGCACCAAGCACCTGGCATAAAAAGATAAATTGTGTGGCCGAATATTGCCCGACAGGCATTCTCGCAAATCGGCCGTACTAGTTTTCATGACAAATGCACCTGAAACTGCTGCCTAACTACATCTTCAGTTAAAGGGACCTGCATCGTAAAGTGAATATCAAAATTCGCAAACCGCACTCACCTACATTAGCCAATTATCCGTTTCGTTCTACTACTACTGCCCACTACTGGCAGTATTAATGCTGCTAATATTCTGTAAAATAAGTCGTCCAGGCAGGAGAGAGAGAGAGAGTAAGAGCCAATGATGCCGTCTCTAGACCGGCGGTCGTTAAAGCGACTTGCATGAATCTAGCCCTGCACAATGAGCAGATTCAATTCGCCATCCTTCATCATCTTATGCAGCCTAGGGCGACTCTAACTCGAAATGAAGATATATTGATAGTCTCTAAATCTGATTACAAATTATATGATCCCTAACTTGGTGGCGATACCGTTGAGCTGTTGACTGCCTTCCATCTTCATGAGGAAATCAAAGTTTGAGATTAATGGACGCTCACAAAGGATTAAAAATCCTGGTTCAGGATTAGCAGTCTCTCCGATGGGGGTTGTAGGCCCTGACATTGGCCAAGTAGACAGTAAGACTTTATTGTCGTCTTCTGATCTTAACTTTCCCAGGCAGTTGGGGTTAGGCGCATTGTCCTGTCAGCTGTGGTCGCCCGTAGTCGTGTGGATCTCTAACTGAGCCGGCCGGGAAGCTGGTTTCTGTGGGAAGCTGGATGGTGTTTTTGTGCAGCCAAAACGCGATTTTTTTGCCTCAAACTTTCATAGTTCCTTTCATTGTGGGCTCAGTTGTCTTGCCTAACGTTCTAATGTGTTGCGCAGAGTGGGATTAGCCTCAGCCTCTTCCCTGGTTGACATTGCCTTGAGTCAGCTTTTTGCATGAACACACATAAACACACACTTGCGGGTGCTCATAACGCCAACAATGCGCATAATTTGCTAATGCAAATCTTCGTTGACCCTGCAGTCTCTTCGAGATATGTACTCAATGCTTTTTCTTCCTAGTCTCAGTAATCACTCCGTCAGCTGTGGTCCTTGGCTTCCTGATCGTATCAACTAAGACCAATCACCAGAGCCTTTCGTGAAGAGCTCACTTAATATACACATCCTTTCCACTCTCTCCCCATGCCGACTCGACAGTCTGAACCTCTCCTCTTGCCGAGTTTTCACCGCTTGCCTGCAAGCACAAACATCAACAAACCAGCTCACATCAACGCAAACCGAAATGTCTACACACCTGCACACACAAAGGCACCTACATGTGCACACATGCCATGAGCATGCTCACCATATGTCAGTTGAGTGGCCGACTGGCTGGCCGAATTTCTGATCAAACCGGCCTTATCACCACTTACACAGCTTCCTGCCTATGATTTTATGGCTTTATCGGTAGGTTAAGTCCTTCCTCAACAGTCCCGAAGCCTTTCACGTCTGCCCTCTACAGCTCGCCGCCTATAACACAGCCTTTGCCTGATTGCTTTTCTTCCGGCAAATACTCTCTTCTCTGTCGTTCTGTGTGCTTGTCTGTCTGTGATGTTGAATATTTGGTCGCTGACTGACAGCCTGTCAGCTTGTCAGCAAATCGGTTGGACACTAATACATTCATTTACTCCTTCATTCAATAAAGCAGACATTCATTTGAGCTCATTCATCAATCACCCAGCCATTAAGTCACTGAATTATCTAATCACTCAGTCACATTTACAGTGAATAGTCAATTAGGCCAATCAGCCGTGCAGTCATTAAATCATGCATTGAGTAAAGCAATCGCTCAGTAAATCACCGTATCTCTCACACATTCGGTCATCACTCAATTAGACATTCATTGAGTCATTCATGTATTCAATCGCTAAATCAAACGCTCATTCAATTAGTAAATTAGTGAGTCAGTTGAAGTTAGGCCATTCGGACTATCTGCCTGTTTTAATAATCACTTTCCTGCCAACTGTCTGTCTTCTCTTGTATGCTGCGATTTTATAGGATTTAGGACTGTCATAATGGTCTCGCTTTTGTGACAAGTGAGCACACATCAACCAGAAACTACGAGTCGGCTTGGCAAATACGCATCCCAGCACAGCGCAATTTGTTAAACCATATTCGTCTCCGCTCCTCTGCTCTTCTACCCCTTAACGCAATCTTTATTACACAGTCTTGAGGTACCTTCTATACTCTAGCCTGGCGATAGACCATTTTTTAGGATTAAAGCATTGGTCTGTGAAGGTTAATTTTAGTGAAGGGTTAATAATTAAAGGAATTTTGACTCCATTTTTGCATTTGTCCTGTCCGTCTAAGCCCTATGGCCTATTGGGCCGACTTATGCTTTGGAGCTGCTCAAATTTAGGCAAGCCCTTTTGTGCTGTAGAGAGGCTCTTCCTTTCGTCGAGTCGCCATGGCAGCAGATTAACTGTAACAGAAGGGGATGCAGGGCCAGTGACTTGGCCAAGGCGTATCAAAGCGCGGGCAGATGGGCCAGTAGGCGGGTGTACTAAATTGGGATTGAAGACGTCATTAGTGTATGCATTTTTGGTGCAATCGCTTCTTGGTAAGCCAGTGGTCTTCGCATAGGTGGCTAAAATTGTGTAATTTCCACTCATATTTACGCACAATCGAGCTTAACTCAGATTCGAGCACATCTGAAGCTTTTGCCAGGGATTTTATTTAGTTTTTTAGCATTTTCTTGTTTTAGCATTTATTCAGTAAGACTAACTTTGCTAACTTCTGCAGATGGTTGCTGAGGCAATCATCTCTATTGAAGGAATGAATCTTTTGGTATCATTGTTGGGTTCACTTTCTGTTTGCTTGAAAATGTGTGATACAGATTTTTTGGTTGGTAGCATAAGTTGGTGTAATTCCATACGAATTGGCTTCGTTCTGGGTGGGCAATACTCATGACGTCTTTACACTATAATAGAGACTGTGAAAATTTGCAATAATGCAGATGAGCGATGGATGATGGCTTATTTTCATTTCATTTGGGTTTAAGTCCAGGGAGAAATAAGTCAATGGCTAGGCTTCATGGAAGAGATAATCGTGTATCCAAATGACTCAAATTCGTTGAATGTTAGGAAGTTCGACCAGAGAGAGAGAGAGAGAGAGAGGTAGAAGGAGAGATGAGTAGCAGCATAGGAACCTGTTCCAGGATAGATTGTATCCGGTCTATCAGATTGTCACTAAGGCTAAGAGGGACCCAATTCCAGTTAAGGGATCGTGAAATAAACTGGTGAAATCACGATTGATACTGGCATACCTTCCATTTCGTTTGAGAAGACCGGTCGAAGAGATTGGTAGATTGGCCGCATCGGATACCGCAGGAGGGTTGCCCTGGACTTTTGTCTGTTGAATTGTGTGAAGAAGACATAGACTCATCGTCCTACGACCCCGATGACTATTAAGGGATTCTTTGAAACCCACCTTCTCTTCATAAATTACGATTGCCTTTCTTCCATGCCGGGCGCTATCTTAATACAGTTCATATATATACATATTTTTCCTCATAATTCATCTTGATGATACTCAAGGAGGGGGGGTCATTGCAACGGACTGTGGTTAGTTTGATGTTGGGATTTTAACCTTCTGACTCATGCATCTTGGGTTCAAATCCCTTAGAGCGTACTAATGGGTCAGGCCAACAGAAGAGCCCGTCCTGGATGAGAGCTCAACCTTATGACAGATGGAGGCTTGGTTTAATTTCGTGTTGCCGTTTAGAGAAATACACTTGACTCTAAACTGCGTGATCAATGTCCGAATTCGGCTATGGCTGAAAAAAAGGGATATTCCATGACAGGCGCTGTCGTTTAGTGAAAATTCAACTTTTCAACTCACCCTGGACAGATTAGCTATCCGATCCAATGCATAAATCACTCAACTTTGTTGAGCATATAAAAAAATGTTCACTCTTTTGTTGACATGTGGGAGAATCTTAAATTAAGAGTCAAGCCTTAAGTTAATCTTTTATTTCCACAACCGATCTGATCCTGTAGACCAAGGTGGTGTTTTGCCATGGAAATAGTTGCAGACAAACTCTTCCTTATTTGTCGTATTTTCTAGAAACCACTGGGGCTGATAATTGGTACATTTGCCATCATGACCGCCAGGGACCGACGGACCTTATGAAAAATTGAAGGACTCATTGGATCTAAGTTGCGTTTTATACAAATTTAGCATCACCAGGTGAACAAGATAGGAGGAGAGGCAGTTCCGGAATAACCAAGTGATTTTTGCTAGTCAGCTATGACGTAATTGTGGTTGTCCAGTCAGGATGAACAGCGTCCTCATCGAAGAGAACTAACATGAAAGTTCGGCTAGCGCCTTATGGATCGTAAAAATATGACTGATAAATCGGAATTTTGCATTTTCTGGGCTTGAGAGTTGAGAAGTGTATGCACAGTACCGACATGAGTATACATATAGAATCTACAGACTCATAAGAAAAAGTTGATTCAATCTACTTTTGCTAAATTGTGCTCATCCTATGTAGAATCTGCCATCTGCAGAGACTTACCGGGTTAAGCAGGCTTCTTCTACACTTTATACTTCTTAAGGGCCCACCTGTCCGACCTGACAGAGTTTGTATCGTCAACGGATACGTTGCCGAACATCAGGGTCCATGTTTCGAGTAAGACGACGGTTGGGTGCGGCGATAGATAGAAAGATGAGTGTGCTAGAGAAAAAGGCAGAGTGTGTGTGTGTGTGTGTGTGAGAGAGAGAGAGGTAGAAGGAGAGATGAGTAGCCGCATAGGAACCTGTTCCAGGATAGATTGTATCCGGTCTATCAGATTGTCACTAAGACATCCAGTTCGTGTGAGGCTAAGAGAGACCCAATTCCAGTTAAGCGGATAAACCTGGCGGAGCTATCAAAGAGACCAAGTGCAGGTGAGTCCATTCGAATGTGTGCGTCTACGAATGAGCCTCTTTGCAGCACGTGTGTCCGTGAAAAGACATATAGACCAGCTCAACTTTGGTATCCCCAACCACCTTAAGTCACATCACTCTCATCAGTCAAATCACGCAGAAACAGTGCAGACGAGTGAATAACTGGATGATGGCCTAATAGTGACTGGGTGAGAAGTTGTCTGACCGACTGACTGACTGATTGATCACCGAAATGATTGAGTCCTATCTTCGCGGCTGATTCAATGAAGGACCGACCGACTGCCTGAGTTAATGACTGAATGATTGAGAGTAAAACTGACACAATCAATGGCCGAGTGAATGATTAAATGCCTAACTGAATGGAAGGTCGACAGTTTGATTTGGTGATTTGGTGAAAGGTTACCTCAATGAATAAATAAATGAATTCATGATTGATGGACTGATGAAATGACAAATGAGCAAATTATTGAATTATTAAAAAACCAAATGACGAAGTGACTCAGTTTTTCGTCTATTAGTGGGCTCAAAGACTACCAGTATCCATCCTATTTCTTTCGATTTCCGCAGCAATATGAATAGGTCTCATTTTTCCAATGAATTTCACATAATCTCGCTTCCCAAAGTTATTCTCATACAGGGTGGACTGCAGTTTTTACTTCGCCCGCGTCTCATCAACATCCTCCGCGGGATTCAAACCCAGTTTGAGCAGCGTATAGTGTCTATGCTTTAACTACTATGCCACATAAGTGACACGATTGGGCAATATTGTGGGACATTGGTATACATTTTGATTACGTTTGATGGGACTAGTAGAAGGTATTCGTAAATTGGTCTTTTCGGAATCTGAAAGATGTGACTAGAGATTTGTGTGAATTCCTGTTTTGTGAATTCTCGTTAAGCTTGCTGCTCTTCACACGGCGGACGAAAGGTCAGCACGGCTTCATCGGAACTTCGGATGATGTAGCGATGACTTATTCACACAAATAATTCCTTCTCCAGCTTCCGATAAGGTCATCAATCCCTTCCATTCGCGTTCCAAACGAAATGGAAGGTACGCCAG